GGTCCAGCGAGCATGAGTTGCAGTATTTGCTGGTTTTGGGCCACCAGCTGCTGCATGGTGTCTAATATTTGCTATGGATTTGGAGTTAGAGCATTCGAGACAGGCTTGGTAGGTGGAGGAACAACCTCCTCCTCTCGTGGAGGATCGTCTTCAGATTGGTTCATGAATCTGGTAGTGATCGTCATTGATTCAGTAAATGAAATGTTTTGAAGTGAGAATTTTTGTCGTTTCCCACAGACGGCGCCAAATTGACGATGCACAAAATGACTTTGCACACCACCTATCAAGTGTAAATAATAAATGCAGTAAAAGTAAAGAGAGAATTGGAGGAGACAAGATTTATAGTGGTTCGGTCAACTTGACCTACGTCCACTCTTCAATGGCTCTCAGTTGCCGGCTATTTTATTAACTCAAGGGTGTGAGGAGCAGAGAGTACAAACTTTGAGGGAGAGAAGAGAGTCGTGCTCAGATAAAAAGTGATGCCCAGATAAAAGTATCATGCCCCCCAAGTGTTGGTAGGACGTGCAATTTATAGTGGTCCCCTAACTGATTTGGGCTACTTTACAGCAACTAAAAGATTATTGTGGTAGAGCTCACGATTTCTTCTCAACGAGCGAGAAGGTTGGGGAGCTCTCCATGAGATGCGGTCAAAGATGACGTGAGAGTGGACTGTTTCCTCTGCGGTGCAGGTAAGGCTCTCGTTCTCTCTCTCTCTCTCTCTCGATGACGTAGCCGAACTGATGAGACTAGACTTGGACAATATTAGGTTTAGTGGGTCTTTATAAGATTAGACTCTTCAATTGAGGTTTGAGTTTTCCAAATAAATTGGGCTCTTCTTGAGCTTGACCATCAGTTATAATAATTATTTTTATTATTTTTTTTGATACGATAATAATGATAAAAATATTTACAATAGTGATACAAATATAATAAATAAATGTATAACACCCATTTTTTTAATTATTATATACCATAGACAACTCCTAAAACTTGCGGTGATTTTGGTTGTTCAACTGATGTGATTGTGTTCAAACACATAAAATACTTGAACTTGTAAAAAAGTCGTGGGGTCTACACACGTTTTCAAATGCTTTGAAACGTTCAATTGAACCGAGGATGGAACCAACCTAGCAATTGCCTGCTGAACATTTCCCAGCTTGTAAACTAGTTGACTTGCATGCTAGTTCACATCTAAGTCAAAAGAAAATTAATATTATTTTGCATGCTATTCCTCTTGGATTTAGTGGCATAGCTTAAATTGCGCACCACTCTTCTAGATGGAAATTGTCAACCTGCAGCGTATTCAAACGATAGCTCAACTGATAATAACGATAAATTATAAATTTAAATATTTTAAGTTTAAAAATTGACATTTTTTTGTGATCGGGTCATAAAAGATTTATCTCTCATAAATATCCTAATTTTTACATGGATTACCTGTCTTTGACTGAATTGAAGAGAAAATTAATTGAGGTACGCATATACTGATCCAAACACACCGACCGTTGAACCAAAATAAAAACAAAATTGTCAACTAACATATTTACTTACTAGTAGGTGAAAAGCAAATATGGTACCCAATTCAATGAAGTTAGTTACGGATTACGATTCAAACTTGAAGAAAAAAAATTGGATACATCTCAATGAAATTTAATAATAACCCAAAAAATGTTGAAATCTATGTTAAAATAGTACGATTGATCCCAAAACAACCCTAGTTTATTTTATCCTAATTACATTTATTCGTGATTTTACATTATAAAAAACAACTCTTTTGTTCCTAACCTTATCCGAAATAAGAGAAAGTGGTCAGAGACGGCTCTCAACTCACTAAGCTTTTTTTCAGTGGATGTGTTATGACAAGGTAGACTAATCAGAAAACCTTAACAACACACTAAATAAAGTCCTAGTCTACTGCCTCCTCCATGGGCCCTCAACTTTGAATTTTTGCCCCAATGATGAACATGGTTCATGGATGCTTAGGATCCACCACAAAATGACACTAACCCAACAATCCTTCCACAGTCAAAGTCAACTTTAGAATGATAAAACCAACCCTCTGCATTTAAAACATTTAATGCTGATTTCATATATATTCAATGAAAAACATAGATGAGACTGATGAACTGTGGAAAATGCATACAACAGTATGAAAGCAGTTTCACCATAAATTAGATTAAAAAAAGGATCAAATGTTATATATGTTACTCAATTGTAATCTGGAGGTCACGGATTCAGGTTGTGAAAACTATCTCTTTCCTTACAGGCGTAAGGCTGTTTACATCTAACTCTCCTCAGACTCTATAATAATAAGAGGCTCGTGCATGGGTCCGCCTTCTTTTTATCAAATGTAATATATGGTTGGTTTTTGTACCTTTGCAGTTGAATTATCCCACCATGCTCAATCATGTCAAATTGATATATTGAAAATTTGTCATTCTTCACCTCCTTGAATCTTCAAGATTGGCTGCATTGCATGGTCATACGTAGTCTGGGTTCTCTAGTTACAACACACTAATTCAAACTCAGTGATCATGAATACTGTTCTGTTCTTTCTGAAAAAACAAGTAACATTAATGCCAGGAGCAGAGAGAACCCCATAGCTAGTCATGCTTTGTGAAAGTGGGAACTCAGACGGAAAGTCATATAAATAGACAATACAGAGAGTTTAATTATATAGGAAAGCAATCTAGAATAAATTATCTTCAAATTAAACAACTGAGAGAATTCCTTTAACTAATTCTCAAGCATGTCCTAGTTTGACTACTTCAATGGCATGACAAACTTCCACAGGGATTTTGAATCTTGACTGTTTCAGACTAAAGAGTACTCATGAACTTCGTCCTCAGCTCGATTAGCAACTCCCGAACTTTGTGGCAATACTGTGAAAATTTTTGATCTATTCCAAATTTAGACAGCTTAAACTGAATATTTGAACAATAGACAATTTCTATATTCCACCATTAAATTTCTACATTCCACCTTAGGATTTTAAACATTTTCAAGTGCTTGCTCAATGAAATAAATCTAGCAGCCAACTAAAATTTCTAAACTATACATCTCCAAAAACATTGACAATTTTCATCCACCTAATGGCAATTTTACACAACCTTATCACAACCCCAAAAACCAACTTCCGAGCTCTTTATACTTTCAAAATAAAGTAAGATAAGTAACAAAGATCGCAATTAAACATGTTGTTAAACTACAAGAGAACTAAGGATGTGTAGAGGCCAAAACAGATACTTTAGCAAGCACCCAAGAGCGAAGGTGAGGGAAAGAATGCTGGAATCAGTAATAGATAAATCAATCAAATTTTATAACCATAAATCAAACCAATAAGGAATTACAACAACAATACAAATTCACATAGTCCACATAGAAATAAACATACAACAGCAACTTAAGGAAGTATACACACAAACAGAAACACATAAAAACACACCACGACCACCTCTCAAGCTTCCCCCACAGTGAACAGGAGCGATCAGGAGATTAAGTTTCAGCACCACCCTTGTTCAATGCCATCTCCATTCTCCAACCTTGTCTTCAAATGGGGTAGCATACCAATTCACTCTAATACTATACACGCATCACTACTCATTAGGGCCAAAATTACCAGTAGCCAAAAAAAACGCAAATCTCACTTCACAAATACGTCTCTATATTTCCTGGTTTTGCTTGGTATGCCTTTATTGGAAGAAGCTGAACCAGAATAATCCTTGGCTTTTTCATTCCAATAGGTTCCTACAGTACCTATTATAGGCATCTCATCAGGGCTTCGACTAGGGGACCTCCTTGGTGAGCAAGACGCTGAAAATTGTTTCATCTCCTCAACAGTCAATGCACCCAAAATTGGTCTATCTTCAAAGCTCCTAATTGAATTTGATCCTTGTGACATACTCTTCTCAGATGTAATGGTTTCGAGCCTGGTGAAGCTAGTCTTCTTGGCGGGAGTAGTTTCAGGCGAAACTAACCAATTTGAAAGACTAGCATCAACTGCCATTTCTTGATTTAAATTATCGCGTTGATCACGTTTTGACTTGAAACTTAAGGATGATTGCTTAAAAGTTGGTTCTGAGCTAAACGATATACGAGGTGCTTCTTGCTCTGCTGTAAAATTCTCCTTTTGAGGCTTCAAAAGTGGTGCCCCTTTTGATTTCACAGCTTTCCACTGAGTGAGATTCTCCACTGGGTTCAACACAGGATGAACATAGACACTCCTATCTCTTGCATTTCGGTTAGACCCAATACATTCCACTCCTTGCCCACTAAAGCCACATAATGCCATTGGACTCTCTACAACCTCCATAATCGCACGCACCGAAGAACTATCAGTCCTTGACTCCATGGATGTAGTTGGAATGGACTCGGACCACACTTCTTTAACTTCAATTCTATCATCACCATCCTCATCATAATCACCATAGTCTTCTCGTTCCTCCTCCTCCTCCTCCTCCCCTTCCTCATCATCGTCATCCAAATCACTATCTCCATACTCAGCTTCATCGTCACTATCTCTGCAGTTCTGGTACCTATGATTTTGGGGGTAAGATCCAACACTGGAAGTGACTGAATCATCTTCAGCAACAGAACTAGATTGGCTTGCTTTTGCCACATTGTCCTCCTTTTCCTTCTCCCTAACTTTGTCACTCTCTATCAAAGAATCAACACTTTCATTGATCGAGACATTCTCATATGTTGTGACGGTCGTATCAAATGTAACTTTCTTTCTCGTACTCAAGCTCAACAATTGTTCCTCAGAATTATCTCTACAAACCAAAATCCATACAATTTCAATTCAAAAAATTATATTGCAGAAAATAGAGAAAACATGTAAGGTTTTTATTTTTGAAAATGAAACATAAAAGATGAAAAAGGATGGGAATGATCCATGAATTAGGCATAAAAGGGGCAACTTTTCAACAAGTTTTGGGAGCCTTCAAAATTATTTTTGTATGGGGGAACTCTTGATTATACTGAGATTTTCCAAACTTCTTTGGGGGGGGGGATCCAAATCCATTGTTGAGAAGCAAATTTTTTTTGGTGATAAAAGAAGAATTCATCTCAAGCATCCAAAAAGATTGATTACTAACCGCAGCTCCGACACCAGGGTGGTGGGCTTTTCTGCTATGCCCAGCTCTGAAGACACAGGAGTTTGGAAAAGCCTCTGACTTCCATGCCTCTGCAACAAAATTCATAGGTTAATTGAGTTTGTCTAACAAATTAATGGGACTAAAAAGGGAAAGTTTAAAATCCGTTTGGTCGCTCAGAAAATTTTGAAAACAAGAATCAAAGAAATTAATGATAAATTTGAGAATTTCTATAATGGGGACCTGATAGAACAAAAGCCCAACTCAACTTCACCTAAAAACAACTACTAGGTTTAGTTCAGTTAATCCCGTTAGTCTTCTGGGATCACAAACAACAGAAACGGGTTACTCGGACATTTTTCTGTTCTTTTTTTTTGAATTTCTTTCTCAGCAACCAACTAAAGGGAGAGAAAAAATCAAAGATCTTGAAGATTAGCTTACTTGGTCTCGAGGGATGACCTTGCTCCTCTGTTTTCGGCGTTTCCGATCATTAGACCCACCAAAACACCCAAGAAAACAGCCCATTACAGAGCATAGATAGACTCTCTGTTCCGAGTATCAGACAGTTCCTTGATGTTCCAGTGGACAATAAAGATTCTGGGTTCATGGATTCTTCATGTTCGGAGAAAGAGCAAGAGAGAAATGAGAGAGGAGCGTTGGATTCTGAAGGAAAAGGTGATGAAGAAGAAAAAGGCACCAAACGGTCAAGTTCTGGTAGGGGCTTTATTATTTTTTGGGTTTTTGCTTGAACAGAAAAATGACCGTTAGAGTTCATGTTGATGCAAATAGGGTTTGTGAACAGGCTGTATTATTTGGAAGAGCAGGATTTAAAAATTAGATTTAAAAATTAAATTTGATAATTTTAATAATTGATTTTACCATGAGTCCCAATATTTATTGGAATACACTATCTATTTAATGATCGAGATTATCAAATCTAATTTTTAAATCTAGTTTTTAAGTCCATCTACCATTACTCTATTTGAAAATCCAAAAAAAAAAAAAGGTTGTATTATTATTTAGGATAAAATTATACTACGCATATTGTTGTTCAAATCTTATATTTTAATTAATTTTTCAAAATCTCATGCATTGAATATTTAGTAGAGTTAGTGAACCCACTAATCCAACCACCTAAATTAATTTGGGATATAAAATTTGGACAAAAATTTGTACACCATAACATTGCTCATTTATTTAAGTAGGACCCTTGAACTTCAATAGGTGTCAATTCGTGTGTTATGCTATGACCTACGTGTCGATATTTTTGTGTCATATTATTATTATTTGTATTGTATTTGTGTCAAAACTTATAATTTTTTTTTATTTATAGTGTTCTAAGTGACAAATATTATTATAACTTATTTATTATGTGTATTTAATAATTATATTAATTTTATAATCATATCATGTCGGATTCGTATTAACGATTTAGAGTTGACACTCCTTATTTAATAAATTGCTAAGGAATGAAATATGAAGGGGAGATAGATATAACAATGAAAAAAGACTAATAAAAATAAAAGGTTATGAATTATTATTAGCAGTTAAGGGACTATATATATATATATATATATATATATACTAGTTATTGCTTATGTTTGAAGGTATAGAGTAATAAAAAAATAGTAAACAATAAATATATTTGTATTTATATTCAAAATTAAATCACAAACATAAAAAAGAGATAAAATAATTTAAACATTGATTTGTAATGGTGGTGAGCAGTAGTGGAGGTGGTAGGAGATGGTGATGGGTGTGGTGGGCAGCAATGACGGTGATGGTGGTGGCGGCGGTTGTGATGGGGGTGGGTGGTGATGGGGTGGACGACGACAATGGTGGTGGCAGCGATGATGATAGCGGCAGCGATGGTGGTGGTGGTGGCAATGGCGATGGTGGTGGTAGTAGTGGGGTGGTTTTAAACATTATTTTTTTTTAAAATATTTATGATAAAGTAGCTTACAATTTAAATTTCAAAAGATAAACAAAATGACTTTTGTTATTCGCGGTTGAGATCGTTTTAAATTTTACTTTAAAGTTAATCTAACGGCTAATATTAACACCTTAAATTTAATAGGAAAAATAGACCCCTAAGAGTGTGTTTAGAGTGACTTTTTAAATATTACTCTTTCCGAGAGTAAAAACTTGATTTGATGCAAAAAAAGGTTTTAATGAACAGATTCAATTTTAAAGAAAAACAAATTCAAATTTAAAAGAATGTGAAATGTGATCATTAGATCTATATAAGAGAATGAAATTTGACTATCAATGAATTAAATAAAATTTGAGTCTCCCTAAATTTGAATAAAAATTTAAATTTTTAAAACTTTGTATGGGTATAAGATTAGGTAAAGTTTTTAAGTTATTTTTATTCAAATTTAAATTTGTGTTTGAAAAAGGTAAGAATTAAAATGTGCTGAATTAATAGTATAGATGGACTGACCGGGCTAGAAAAGCCCATGCACATTCGGCTGAAAAATATAAGGATTAGAAATACTCTAAATTAAAGAAAATGTTATTTGTACCTAATTTAAAGACTTAATGTGGGTTCTATCTCACATTAAAACTCCCAAATAATTCAATTGTTATATTGAAATCACATCATTAAATCCCCAAATAAAGTCCATACGGCATTACTCCTGCATTAATAATAGTATAGATAAGGCCGGTAAACGGGCCGCTGCACATGGACTAACCGGGCCAGAAAAGCCCATGCACAATTGGTATTTTTTATTGAGTTTTTTTGGAGGTCGATTCTTAGACTCAATAGAATTCCAAAAAAAAAAAAAAGTAAAAATTGAAGTTGAATCCTCCTTATTTTTTTAAGGGACTTATAATGAGTTTAGTTAATCAAAAAAATTTATTTGGGAATAAATCTGTTTTTAATCTTACTAATAAATTCTTAAGTCTATAATTTTTTAAAAACTCTAAAATATCTTTGAAAGCGGTTTTAAATTAATTTCCTAACTTGAAAAGTACTATCCCTTAATTCACTCTCAACAACTAAAATATGTCAATAATTTTTTTTTACATAAATTTAAAATTCAAATTCAAAGAATAACTTATATTATCTCTCTCTCTAGTCCCAGAAGATCGGTGCCACTTATCGTTCATCTCCTCTTGTTCATTGCTTCTCTCTACATTGATCTGGAGGGGAGTAAGCTAGAACCATGAGACCGACCTGACTTGACTCACTTGATTGCTAGATGGCGAGGCCACTCCGATAGTCGCAGTTGAAGGAGCTTTGGATGCTTGATTTGCATTATGCTTCTTACTGTGATGTTGAGAATGAGCTCTCTTCGATTTCGCCAAAGCCTATGCATTCATTCTCCAATAAAAATTTCGAAAACTAGAGACCGAAGGTGCAATTTCCTTTTTTGATTTTCCTGAGTTTTTTGAGCAACTAAAGATGTTGTTTGACTCCCAATTTTTCTTCAATGTTTCATGTTACTATTTTTTTTTAATAATGTTACTATATATATACAAATAAATATAAGAGAGATAATTTTAATATTAATCAAACTCCTAAAATTTAAAAAAAATAATTTTTAATTTTTTTTAATTAAATATAACTATCGAGGATAATTTAGACAATTTAAAAGAAAACAGACTTACGAACAAATAAGTGTTATTGATGGATTTATACTCCAAATTAAGTCTACATAGAGAGACCGACCCTCAAATTTCCCCAATAAAAACTCACTCGTCAATTTACTTTTTGATTAGGTCCTTGTTGAGAAGTCAAAACAATAGACATAATTAATGCTCTTTAAAAATTACAAAAAATAACTATAACGCTATCATATAATTGAAACACCTATTCTAAAAATTTATGTCATCATAATGTATTTTCTTCTCTATAAAATTCATATCGTTATACAATTACAATAAAATATAATTAATAAAATAGATCGTCAGACAGGTACACAAATCGTTAGACAAATACACTAAAATACAGTTAATAAAATAGATCGTCAGACAGATACATATATCGTCATACAAGTACACTAACATCGTCCATAAACACAAATCGTTAGACATATACACTAAAATACAATTAATAAACACAGATATCAGTTAAGTACATAGATCCTCAATAACAAACGCAAAAAAAAAAAAAAAAATTAAAAATAACTCAAAAAACACATCAAAATTTTCCTATTTTGCAAACTTGCTTTATGGGTGAGTGGCAAGAAATAAAAATGAGAAACTTATGTTTGTGTGCTCATGTAGAAACATGTAAATATCAGACAAAGATAAAGGAAAATGAGACCAAATCCACCTGAATCTAAGAATGATTGAAATAAATTTTTTGACGGCTTAAGTTTATCACCTCAGCACTCCACCCGTTTGCGTTTAGATATTTGTTTGGATTAACAATACACACTTGCGTTGCACGTGAAAAAAAAATTAGTTTATTAATTTATTATTAAATTTATTTGAAATACAAAGTTGATAAGTAATATAATTGAATTATGTTTTTTTTTTTTGTAAAGGTAAGTGAATAATTAAAATACCAAAAAAAAAAAGCACTTAATCTTTTAACATCAAAATTTGATAAATTTCAGCCAATAAACGATAAAAATATTGAAAAACATGATATGTATAAAAATACTCAAAAACATGATACATAGTACATTAACAATTTTTTTTTGGGTATGGTACCTAACTTTAACTATTTTTTTAAATATTTTTTCTTATAGTTAGAATAACAAATTTTTATAACATACAATTTTTATTTATAATGCTATAATAAAATATGAGCAATGAAAAATTAAGTTTAATAAATTTGATTACAGAATATTAAGATTTGGACAAGTTTTCAAAATATTAGTTAAATGAGCAATGAAAAATTAGATTCATGAGAGGTTATAATAAAATAAAGAAACACTAATATAGAAAATTTTAACGTAAACATAGAAATTAATAAACTAAAACAGTAAAACATATGAATTAATAAATTAACTTCAATTATGCTGAATATTCGACCTGCCACGCCAATTTAATAAACTAAAACATAAGAATTAATAAACTAACCTCAATTATTATGCCGAATACTTGACCTGCCACACTAATCTCTTAGAAAGGTGTTTGACATAAATTAAAAAAATTAAGTGTCGTAGAACATAGGAATTAATAAACTAACCTCAATTATGCCGAATATTCGACCTTCCACACCAATTTAATAAACTAAAACATAAAAATTAATAAACTAACATCAATTATTTTGCCGAATACTTGACTTACCACACCAATCTCTTAGAAAACTGTTTGACATTAAATTAAAAAAAAAATTAAGTGCCACAAAATATATGAATTAATAAACTAAAACAGAGGAAATGATAAACTAACCTCAATTATGTCAAAAACTCCAACTTCGACTTCATTAAGTTTGTCACGGAAGAACATGAGACCATAGGACTTCAAATAAATGACTATGACAGACCAACTTTTAACTCTAACGTGAATGGAAGAAAAAATATATGTATATATATTACCTAAAAATTATCAATATGTGGTATTAAAATTCTAGCAGAGTTTGTACAATTAAATGAAAAAAAAAAGAATGTATTGTCATAGAGATAAAATATATATATAAAGGAATTCAAAATATTTTAAAAATCTAATAAGTAGGAAAGACAAAAAAATATATTTATATGTATCACCTAAAAATTACCAAAAAATTGTATTAGAATTATAGTAGAGTTTGTATAATTGAATGGAAAAGAAAGAATGTATTGTCATAGAGATAAAGTTTATCTATCAAGTCATAGAGATAAAGTTTATCTAACTAATATTTTGATAAAGTTTATTTAGGTAATATTTTGATAAAATTTATCTATCAAGTCATAAAGATAAAATTTATCTAGCTAATATTTTGGAAGTCAAGTATATATGAAAGACAGGAAAATATGTGGGCATAATTAAATTTATGATAATAATTAAGGATAAAATAGAAAATTAAAATTTTATCACACATGATGACATTTATAAGTAATATAGGTTTACAATAATGTTTTCTGGAGAGAGAGAGAGCGCTAAGAGTGAGATCACCTCCTTTCCTTGGACAATCGATCTTCACACAAGCAGTGTTTGTGTTCAAATGAGCAAGTAGGTGCACACACAGGCCTATATATACACACAAAAGCATAAAAGAGAGAAAAATTAACTATATTTTAGGCTAAAATCATGTGATGAAGATAAAATACATAATGAAAATCCACTAAAAATCCAACCCGCCACATATGCGCTTGCATAGTGACCACATCCCATTTTTCTAATACACGGAGGACCTTTCTCTATACTAAAAATGCGATTGAACTAAAATTGGTTTACAAATTAAATGAGGAATTCTAGCCTAATTAACTATTTTTTCTTATTTTTATTAGTTGAAAAATAAAAATAAAAATTACTTTTACCGTCTTGAGACTTAATTATCATTTCTGTAGATTGTCTTGTTCTATAAGCCTTTTCATTGTCGAATGTCACACACTTATCCCCTCCTTTTGTCTTTTGGGGACCCTCCTTTCTAAAAGAGGCGACAAGAATTAGCATATCATTTCAAATTTAATTCCCTTGGAACTAAATTTCAACAAATTTTCTCTAAGTATCATTTCGATTTCATAAAATAGTCAATGAGCAATATTATTGAGTCTAATTTACTGACCTAATTCACTATAACATTTGAATTGACTATGGAGCCCATCACCCACTATCATTCACACCTACCACCACCCTTATTCGCCACCACTCATCACATTATTGCCCAAAATAACCCGTCGTTGCCCACCACCACCATTACCAACTACCATCACCGTCGTCACCCTTGGCTACCATTATCACTATCGTCACCCATAACTTACACTACCACCATCGTCACCCAAAACCAACAACCACCGTCACCGTTACTACCCATGGCTGCCACTATTACCACAATCGTCACCGCCCACCACAACTATCACCATTTCTTATCACCACCACCACTGTCACCTACCACCACTACCACTGTTCACCCCTATTACAATTGGGATTTAAATTTTGTTTCTCTCTCCTCTCTATTTATGATTTAATTTTTGATATGAATATAAATATATTTATTATTGACCATTTTTTTTTATTACTACGTAATTTTAGACACAAGTAATAACTAGTAAGTTAGATAATATACAAATATATAGTACAAATCAAATGGCAATCGAATCATATATTCATACACTTAAATCCAAATCCATGATATCTCGAGATTTAGAATCACTTTCAAAACCACATATAATGCGTCAAAATGACCAATCCACTCTGTCCCTTTCTTCAGCTGCTTAAGCATTTTTCATCTTCTTCCATATCTGTACCAAGATTATATATATGTATATATTCTGATTCATCATATTGACAAACAGATAATCTTCTGTGCCTCTTCCTCATACTATCACAAAAATAGAAACAGATTGATATGATTTAGCTTACTATCGTTCCGGGAAAAAAAAAACTTATATCATAACTACGGGGACTAGAGTACTCTTGTGGGATACATTTTTTAAATGGTCAAAATATTAGCAAATGATTAAAGAGTAATGCTATTGAGACCTAATTCACAATGATCTTTGGATTGACTGTGGGTTCCATCAAATATTGGAATTTGATGTTAATATAATGGTTTCAATAAAGCCACGTCATTAGGTCAGTAAATTATGTCAAATTTTAGATCCAAATAGTATTTTCCATGATTAAAATGTTTACTGTGATTAAAGTATAAAGAGTGCTTGAAGAATTTCTTAGTAGTTAAAATATAGATATAGACGAAATATTCACTATGATTTAGTTGTAAGATTAGTCGTCGGATCGTAAATGTAGATGATGTGGGTGTTAAATGGATATAAATAGACTATTTCCTTAATTTCTTACATTAATCCATGCAGAATCAACTGGTATTGTTATTTAATGATAGTGGTTTGAGTCCGTCATCACAAAAATTATTCTCTCATTAACTTGTAGCCTATGAACTGTCTCCAGGTTCCTCTTGTCGCTTACAATGTTGCTTATTTTAATTTGGTCGATGATGTAGAGGGAAATCCAAGAAAAAGAGACGAAATGGTGATATATACTGTGTTGATATATACCTCTATATTGTGAAGAAGAGAAAGGAGCTGTGGATGGAAGAGATGACGATTACACACAAGATGGTACTGTAGATCTCAAGGGTAGACCCGTCCTAAGATCCAAAACAGGGAGATGGAGAGCTTAGAGCTTGTTACTTCATGCTAGGTAAGTAGTAACGTATTATTTAATATCAACCCGAAACTCTAAACTCAGAACCTTAAATCCTAAAAAAACTAAAAATCTTGTTCTTCGGTTGAACTTGAACTTCTTTCTAAGATATATCCCATTACCCTAATTCTCTTGGAGTTTCATATATAGGGTATGAAGTCTTTGAGAGGATGGCATACTACGGGATTGCATCAAACCTTGTGGTATATTTGAGGAACAAGCTACATGAAGGCACTGTGAAATCATCAAATAGTGTCACTAACTGGATCGGCACTGTATGGATAACTCCCATATTAGGCGCATATATTGCTGACACTTATATAGGTCGTTATTGGACTTTCATGATCGCATCAGCAATTTACCTCGTGGTATATATAGCCCTTAGATTTCATTTCAATCATGCTCATACATATAAATGAATATTTCCACTGCATAAAAATCATGCCAAACAAACCGACACACCACGTGGGCTCCAGGAAGACTCTTTTTTCATCGTGGTCCAGTGGAGGGATTCGAGTCTGGGTTTTTCAGATCAATACTTACGATAAACTAGCAATTTGCTTGTGAGAAAGACTTCTTTCGTTTGAATTTGGCGTAATTTAATTGTAATCATGCTATGTCTCCGGCCTTTTATTCTTCCAACGGTAAAAAAGTGACCGGCCAGGCCCTTCGTGTGGCTTTGTTTATCCTATAAACAATATACTATGAGTAATGACCAAACAATATACTATGGTTTTTTATGACTAAAACCATAAAAAATCCAATATGTCAGCAAACGATTCATGGGCCGCGGGGTCCTTGATTGCCTCAGTGGCCATTGGGTCATGGGCCAGGTGGTCGGCCACATTGCGACCTACAAACGACCTGTTAGCCTGGCCGGTAGAGCTTGGCCCATCGACCCATCAAAAATTCAAGAAAATAAAAATATGTGTCATATCTGAAAAAGATAAGCTTTTCTATTACAGTGAATGTGCTTATTGACACTAGCAGTTTCTGTGTCATCCCTGAGGCCTCCATCGTGCGGGCACAACGTGAAATCGGAAGACTGTGACAAAGAGTCGTCCTCGTTTCAAGTTGGTATTTTTTAATTTGTGCATTGTACATAATTGCTATCGGAACAGGCGGAACCAAGCCCAACATCTCAACCATGGGTGCGGACCAATTCGACGATTTCGAGCCCAAGGAGAGGACCCATAAGCTCCCCTTCTTCAATTGGTGGATGTTTAGCATTTTCTTTGGTACCCTCTTCTCTAATACCTTCTTCGTACAAGACAATGTGGGCTGGGCCTTGGGCTATGCCCTTCCAACACTCGGACTTGGAGTATCAATAGCTATGTTCGTGGTGGGCTCACCCTATTATTGACACAAACGCCCATTGACTAGAATGCCAGCGAGAAAATGGAAATGATCCAAAAGACCTTCATGAGCTAAGCTTTGATGAATACTCCAACTCTGGCAAGTTCAGAATCGACCACACCCCTTCATTAAGGTTGGTCTCTCTTGTTCCAAATATTTATTTTTTCATTATACGTAGAATTTGTTCGAATTCAACCTAATTATAATTCGTTTAAATTAAAATAAAAATTGAATTTAACCAGATTTTTAAGTTCATTTATACACGGAATCCAAGTACCTTGCAACTTGAATAGGGCTTGGTGCAATTCAAATAAATTCATGTCAACAAATAATTATAATATCATTGTTTAACAATCTATATCGAAAATACAAACAACTGCAAACTTGTCTCCAAATAGCTCTAATCCATATATAGTCTATTCTCTAATTGATTTTTTTCGATGTTAAATGTCTACAATTTTACTTATGGTTAACTAGATTTTATTTTGTTGAAAATTTTATTATTGTAGGATTGATAACATACAACTGTAGTTTAATTTGTAATGGTTTTGTGGAGAAATTGTGCCCACTATTAGCTTCGGCTCGACTCGAATACTTTGAACTTTTCTGTAGAGCTAAGGTTAAGCGAGAATTTAAGCTTAACAGTTGAACTCGAGTCGGGCTCAAACTCCACCAATCACAACTAAACTAAATCTGAGCATACTCATCCCAACTTGTTTTCACCATATTGTCTCTTGGCTTGCATTGCATCGCCTGCAGGCTCCTTGACAAAGCAGCCATTAAGAGTGGACTAAGTTCATCATGGTCACTATGCTCAGTGACCCAAGTTGAAGAAACAAAGCAAATGCTAAAAATGCTCCTCATTTTAGCAGCAACATTCATTCCAAGCACCATGTTAGCACAGACACACACTCTTCATCAAGCAAGGCACCGCATTGAACAGGAGCATGGGTCCTCACTTTGAAATCCCTCCAGCATGCCTCACTGCGTTTGTGACGATCTTCATGCTGATCAGCATCGTGATCTATGACCGGTTCTTTGTCCCGGCTATTCGTCAGTACACTAACAATCCAAGAGGGATCACATTGCTGCAAAGGATGGGGATTGGACTTGTTTTACATGTCATTATCATGTTGATTGCTTGCTTTGCTGAAAGAAAAAGACTTGGTGTCGCAAAAGAGAATGGGATTTTCGGGAAAAAAGAAATCGTTCCTCTTTCGATCTTCAATCTTCTCCCTCAGTTTGCTCTAATGGGGGTTGCCGATAACTTTTTGGAAGTAGCAAAGCTTGAGTTTTTCTATGACCAAGCGCCCGAAGGCATGAAAAGCCTTGGAACTGCCTACTTCACAACCAGCTTTGGAGTTGGGTACTTTCTGAGCAGTTTTCTTCTGTCAACTGTGGCAGATATCACCAAGAAGAATGGCCACAGGGGATGGCTTTTGGACAACCTCTATCTCTCATTTAGACTATTACTATGCTTTTTATGCTGTCCTGAGTTTTATCAACTTTCTCTTCTTTATAGTTGTAGCAAAGTTCTTTGTTTATAACACAACATTGACTACACCCAGAGGTAGTTACAGGAATCTATGGAGACCTTGCCAAAGGAACCTACATCTCAAGATGAGAATTCCTTGAAGAATTTAGTGAATTGACAATAATCTTGTACCATGTTTGCTTCTTGGAATCTTGTACAAGCTGGCAAAATCCTTCCCTTTGTCAAATTAGCATTCTTTTGCTTCAAGACTGGCCTGGAATGTAAACCTTCACTTGACAGTTTGAGTGGTTTGTGTAGAATTCTCCTGTCAGCTTGTTGAGTCTGTAACTTCAGGATTCAAGCATTATTTTCATTTCCCTCTTTCTAAGCTGTAAAAATCAAGTGTAGCATTTTCCGGGCAAAAAGGAAATGAAGTTCTTCCTCCAAAAGAAATGTAAGACTACACAACAAATTGCAGACAAAAATCACTTGCTAACATTGAACCCTTATTACACATTCAAGATAAAGCAGCCCCAGGGAAAAAAGAACTAGATTTATCTCATCATCATTCAAAAGAGGGATAAATTTACATGAAGGGATTGAAGCAAAAAGGATCCTGACATTAATATGTCAATTTTCTTAACATGGTAAAGGCTGCAGCTTGCATGCAGCAATTGATTCCAAAATCCACGTGTGCGTAATGACCTTGGATCCAATCTCATTAGCCAAATCCTGTGCAGCTGCTGATCTCTGCAACAAAATGGAACCCTCTTCTCCCAGCTTGCAACCCGGTGGGGGATCCTGGTTATAAACTACTAGTGTTGCTGATGGAGTTCTGTGGGCATCATGACTTTGTCCCATTAACTGATCCTTTCTTTCAATAACAGTACCACCAGCTGTTAGTACCAAATTTAAGAGGTCATGCTTGTAAGCTGGCACAAAGTCCGCAACAAAATAGAAATTTAGGCCACCGAAAAGCTTAGGTTTCTGCAAAACAAATTGAAGGCTCTTCAACTAATAGGCCAAAAAACAATCTAAAATATAGTTGGATGCAAAAATAAATCATGATTCTCAAGCAAAGGCACTGAATATCTAGCAACAACTCAGTACCACCAGATCAACTTTGTAGATCCCAGTCAGGAATATCACCCCCAGGCCCCAAGCAGAGTATAATTTAACTAGATTCTTGGGTATGGTCTGACATCAAAGTCTTAGCACATGTATATTGTTTCCAGTGTCCCTGAGTAACATGATAACATCAGATAGAGATGTGAATCTTAAATTGTTCTAATTTTGACCTATATGTACTCTGACGGGCATCTAGGTGCCAGACTTGTAGATAATAAGGTGATTCTGAGGGTCCATTTTGTCAAGTTTGATACAGTCTAACAAATACTATTCTTTTATTGTATACTTTTGTGCACTTACATTGATTAAGGCCCTAAGTCTGCCTGTTTTGGGTCCATCCCAACAACCGTGGTTGTCTAAGCTAACTTCATATAGTTCTTCATCCACAGGATGTTTTGCTTCCATGCAAGCTTTTATCCCTGCAAAAAAAAAAAAACAGCACAATACTCACTAAAATCCACCATGAAAATCAACAGAGATGCATGAGCAATTTTTTCTTCCTTCCTTTTCACTGATAGGACCATTCAACATGTGATAAATGTACTCTGGGATTAATTTCATCACCTCATTCTCAATGAAAGGAGAGAAAAGTTATAAATAACTACATTCCTTAGAAACAGCAGGCAGAAGATTCAGAAATCTCTAGCATGGAAGTGCCAAAAACAAAAAGAAAAAAAAAGCAACCTAATACGCTCTAGGCAGAAAAGTTAGAAGCATAAGTGGAGCTTACAGTCCATTGTAATGATCCACCTTCCATTCAGAATAGCCATGAGAACTTTCAATGTCCTACTGCATGCACCATTTGTATCTGTGGCTGCAATCACGTGGGTAACATTTGGTTTCCAAATCTTGGTCACAGTTGCACCACAAATGCTTCCAAACTTGACCAGAAGATACTACATATCAAACCAAGGACAGTTAGGATACTTCAGAATTACCACCTGAAGAAAAAGATTTGCATACAAGTATTTCTACTGGGAAGATGTTAATGTCAAAAATCTCCACAATAGATGTCATGGAAAACAATTCCAACAGAACTGCTGCCTTTCATTTTCATCTCCCAACATCGTCAAAATACGTATCAACCAAAGATTATTAGAAAAAGGAATCTGAATAAGATACAGAACTCAAATTCTGAATCCTAATAGTAAACCTAACTCTTTTAATTTAAAAATTCTGAGCAGAAATCACTGACAAATCAGTAGAGTTTAGTTAGCTGCAAACCGTATCTGAAAAAAAACAGATGGTACTGAGTTTTGCCTATTCAAAAGTTGAACAGTCTATATATGAACCTACTACACAAGAAAATATGCACATCACAGATAACTTGTACATATCAGGAAACTATTCTTGTGAAACAAACCTTCTCTTCAGATGAAAGAGCAGATCCGCAAAAAACCCAATCTCTTGCTCCATTAAGCAATGTTGCACTGAAGTTTGACTGCTTGGAGAACCTGTATTAACAATGGCACAACATTGGCCCAAGCACTGTAGCTTTAAGTAATGCCTAACCTTGTGAGCCAAATATTCATAAATAAATAAAAAAGGCACCCAATGATAGAATGGGAAATCTGCAACTTTAGCTAAAATGTCAATCCAATATTATTCTCCCGAGGAAATTAGAATACAAAATTATAAAGCTTCCTTCAAGTACCCAAAATTGGAGAACTATTGTATCTTCAAACTGCTCATGTGTACAAACAAGTATTC